CGGGGTGGGGCGCGCCACTGTGGGAGGTTCCGCGTGAAGCAGCCCGTGGCCCTGCAGGCGCTGTAAGTGTCGCGTCCGGCTGATTTGTGATGCCCCTGCCCGGGTCAGCCACAACGGAAAGCACCCGGCCAGACTGGTCGGCGGCCGGGACCAGGGGCCCGCGATCCACCGAAAGCAATTTTAAGACAATGCGTCTGATTGGATGCTTTATCGACCAAAAATCATGAGGACATGAATAACACACCAAACTCCACCCCACCCTCGAATTTGTTTTTGTTGCGCGTTTGTTAGTCTTGTAATTATAATTTATCTCGAAGGGACAGGGGTGGTGGCGACTGGGGGTGGGGGGCATGTGTGGGTTGCCGGAGCATTCTAGCAATGCGTCTTCATTGCGCTGGTTCACGCCGAGGGGAGGACCCTAGGACCACGCGGGTGTGTGCGGAAACCACAGCCGCAGCAGCTGCGGGCAGCGCCCGGGAGCTCGCCCCCGCTAGCGCAGAGCACAGCTGGCGGCTGGGTTGCCTACACACCAGGCGCTCCCAGCCTCCTGCGCTCGCCTGAGTTATCGCCCCTTTTAGGACCCCGAGGTCGGGACAAAACGCGGAAAAGAAAGAAAATCGGCCTCTCGCTTGAATTTTTGGATTGCGCTGGGAACTCTGGTTTTATATATTTGGTTTAACGCCTGGGAGGTAGGCAATCTTCTGGCCTGCAGCACACATGTGTCAGGCGGGTCTGCCTATCGTCAGGCGCTTGACGTTGACCGATTGCCTTAACGCTGGCATACGCTGTGAGCATGTTCTACTTGAAATTATACAGAACCGATCGATAATGGCCTTGTTTATGCACAACAACAAGAAGATGTCCGACGCGCAAGAAATGCTCGGTTCACCTGTGTTTTACTTGATATGGGCCGTCCTGTGCTAACCGTAACGTGCAACTCGTTCTGCTTCGTGTTGCAGGAGAAGTTCCAGCGCGAGTTCCGGCTGCGCCTGGACGTGTGCCTGCGGCGGTCGCCGGCCGGCCGCGGGTCCATCTCGCGCGAGCTGAGCAACCTGGACTCGGGGCGCTGGGAGTGGCCCGCGCACGGCGGCCGCGCCGGCACCCTCGCGCTCAAGAACGGCGACAAGCTGCACCCGGCCCTGGGCACGCTCGGCGCGCTCGACCACCACAACAACCACATTTCGGGCTCCAACTCGGGCCTGTCCGTGCTCACGGGCCACACCTCGCTCACCCCATAGCGGTCGCTCCGGGGGCCGGCCCCGGCCTCGGCCCCAGCCCAGTACCGCGACCTCCCCCCAAGGCTGTCGCCGTCCTGGGCGTGGCAGGACGCCACCGGCCGCCGCCTGGACGAGCTGGAGGAGTTCGACAAGGTGCTCCACTGCTAAGCACAACGGGTCGGCCCGCCGTTGCCGCCGACGCAACACAGTCAGAAATCGGGACCTCAGACAGGCGCGCCCTCTGGCCTGCTCTGCGGAAGCACTGCTGGACATGGAAGGTCCTGGCTCTCTATTTATTGTGCTCCGGACTCTAGGAAGCCCACAGATTGACGGGCCCGCAAAGAAAGACGCTCTCTGCTCGTTTGCTGAAGGCATCACTTGGACTTACGACGCATTGGCCGTCGTTTGATGGCACAGTGATATGCCCGCGTCCGCTCCTCGCGCTAAAAAACGAAATGGTTTTTGGAACACATCGGAAATGGATAAGGCAGAGCTGTGGTGGTTTTCCCTAAAATTACACATGCAAACTCCTTGTTCTGCTTAAACTATGGACGATTTGCTTTTATGGCTGCCTAAGAGCAGGCACAATGTCGTTCGTTAGTATAATGTTGTTTTAGTTCTTAAAAGTGGTGTTAATGCAAGGACGCTCTCATTCAAATTCTATGGTCCCCCGTGGATATTTTTTATGTATGATTCAAGTATCTATTTTTTTTGTTTTTGTTTTTTTGTTTTTGTTTTTTTGTTTTGTTTCGCTGTATTTCACTTCATGAGCTACAGAGTTTGTGTTTTCTTCGACCATGGGATATCTTAAAATCTTCGTTGCCCCAACTATAAATTTTGTTTAAATTTAACTCTTCGTTGCACTGTGCATGAAAGTCCCGGCCCGGGTCGATCATTGAAAGCCTTTATCCTCTTTTTATGACTCTTTTTTTCCCACTTTGGGTGATCCTTTTTTTTTTTGGGGGGGGGGGCTAACGAAACACATGTCCCCCACACCCATCCTCTCTCGGAGGCCAGTGCTGGCAGAGAAGTGACTCGCTGTCCACACCGCATTGTAATTAGGCGCCCACCATTTGCACGCGGACAGCTTGTTCATTTTCCTTCCATCTCTAGCCCGCCACCCCCGCACTGTACATATTTGAAAATGATGGTCTCGATCGAGCCGTGTATGCGCATCTGTCGCTCCACGGATAGTCCGAGTAATTCCGGAATAGTGGGAGGTCGGAAATAGGTAGGGGCAGCCGGTCCAGTACAGCTCAGCTCGCTGTGGACAGGGGTGGCTCTAGTCGAGTTAGGCTGGCTGATGCCTTCCCAACACCCAGTAATTGGACTTGACAGTTCTGGGACACCAGCCGCTTTTTCCCCTTTTGCTTCTTTCTCCCATCCAGTCTCTTTCTTTGAAAGCTAAGCGCTCCTCCCCCCCATGAGAACATGTCTCACCCCCCCCCCCCCCCCCCCATGAGAACATGTCTCATTAATTTCCAAAATTCGAAAGGGTCATGTAGAGCGCTGCTTCTAAACATTTTGCCCTCAAACTTTCTTTCTTTGAAGCACTTGTCCGGAAATAAATGAACTTTCATCATACTAATTCGTTTTGATATGTAAGAGCATAAAATTTAGTATAGTGCGCTTAAATATTCAATTTCTATGATATTTTCTTATGGACTCGTAGCTGATTAATATAAATTTAAGGAGTATCTTATTCTTTGAGGCAACTGTGAATTAGTTGTAAGACGTACTTGATTCTCGTAGTAAATTTACATCGGTTAAGGATTGTAGTCTCGTCATAACTTACCTGCTAAAAAGCCAAAGATTAGTTCCTAAAATAATGGTCGTTGACTTTCTTTACAAACAGATGAACTATCTCAACATTGCTGTCTGAAAAATATGTGTACATGCAGTTTGATTGTCATCATTCATTAGTATGCCTATTGATGCCTATCAATTTTAAAATAGGTAGATCAATTACAATATGTGTAGTCTTAGCATCTTCAAAAAATTTCAAAACAAACTCGCAAAATTTGCGCTGTTTTCATTAAGTTTGATTCCATATTTAAGTTGTGGTATGTTTGTGCAAAGTAAATGGAGTCAGCGACTGAGATTAAAATGTGATGTGTTTTCCGAACGTAATTTGAGTGTGACTTTGTATCAATCTTGAAAATAAAACTAAAAGTCGAGGCTGTTCCGTTTCCTTGAATGGTACCATCTTTAGTAAATTAGCCAATTCAAGTACAACACACAACGCCTCACAATAATTCAAGCCAACTGCAGTCGTAGGTACGTCCTGTGTTGTACGCAGAAATGCAGACAAAATCAAGTTACTGAAGATTAGAAATACTCGCACACAAATTTCAGGGGAACTTCCAGATGTTATGTACCGTATGCAGGCATCAAGGTGCCAGGTGGTGACAAAGCCGGTGGCGGGGCCCGTCATTCCGAAAGAAAGTGGGTACGCAAAAATAGAACAAACTTTACATCTGCTCTAAGCAGTTCGGGCGCAATGATGAAATTTGTAAATATGGTCTAGTGCGTGTTGCAAAAATTGTTGGCATTTTGTGAATAACCGCGTTCGCTTTCACTCACATGTCCCTCCCCACGTTCATGTTTTCCGGTCTGACACGATGCCGTTGGTGCGTCCGTTGGTGCGTCCAGTGAGTGGAGCCGAAAACAATCAGCTGTCTGCTGTTGCTGCTGCCGCGCCCCCACGCCGGCTTGCGTACCGGAGAGCAACGCAAATAGTCAGGTGCAAGCAATCCGCCCGTCTGCACCAGCAAACAGATCGCTATGGTAGGGGTTGGGGGCGCTGGGGAGGTGGCGTTCGGCGATAGAGAAGTGAGAGGGGGTGTCCCGTTTCGCGTCGCCTCTCGTGTGGGAGCAACGCTTCAATAAGTGCATAACACCACATCGCCGCTCACAAAAACGTATTTTTACCATCGTTATATCGGCTGCGTCGAGACGAGCAGGACGGTCTGAATGCGAATCATTACCGCCCAAACATCGCTATATTTTATTTCGTGTAGTCTGGTGGCGCCTCTCGGGAATCAGCGTGGCGTGGCGTCGGCGACGCCCCCCACCGCGTACCGCCACAAGACGGGATCGGGACCGCATCCGCCGAGGGCGTTTCCGTTTATGGAGCGGTGGCGCCCTGCTCCCTCCCGGTCGGGTTGCGAACCACGGTGGTTGGGGTCCGGTGGCTTCCTAACGCTCCGCTCGGGCTCGCGGTTCGCTTTCTTTCGGACCCCCTCCGCCCCCTCCCTCCCCCATATGCCAACCTAATGGGGGAGGCGAGCGGTTAGAATCGTCACTAAACTTATCCGTGAGTCTTTGGCACAATGTCCATTATTACTGCCCCTAAAGCCGAAGATTCCCCCTCCCCCTCATTTTTACTGCGTCGTCTCGCTGGTAATTTTCCAGTTGACCTCTTATAAAAAGTCTTTGCTTGTCGCACAAGAGCTATCTGTCAACAAGCGCGTGCTCTGTTATTACTCTATCTGCTGCTAGATCGTGGAAAGGGGGGGGGGGTTAGCAAGCAGGTCGGAGGGGCGCGTGGCGGCAAGCTCACGCGATCAACGCTTTGGTCTGGGTGCCTCTGGATACAGGTACCTATAATAAGGCATTCCGGTAAAGCTAAAATGCTGAAGAATGCGAGGAAGAAGAAAACGGAAATCGCTATGCTGATTTCCGTTGTCTTGTTACCTGCATTATTCTGCATTTCAGATTCACCGGAGTGCTTTATTATATAGGCCTTATTGGCTCTTGTTAGTGCGATAGTTCTCTATGGGAGGAGGTAACGACGGCTAGTTGCGTTCCAATCCATCCCTCCCTACCTCTGGCAGGGCCATTTAAAGTTTTTCAACGTATTTGAGAGTGTTAAGTAGGAAGCTTGAAAATACAAATACGATATCAGATTCGATTTTGATGTGGGGCCCCTACCCTGCGCCCCTGCAGCGTGCGTTGCTGTGCACGGGGACCCATCCACGTCACGGCCACGACTACCCGCAACCCGCGCGGGGGACAGCCCTCGCGCTTACTCCTACCTCGGAAGCCTTGCGCTGGCTTCAGTTTTGTACAACACCGACGCCACGATGGGTCTATCGGTTACGAATTCCGTTTCCAATGTCGGCCGAAGCGGGCTCGTCTCGCAGACCAATGTCATTTTTACCCCGAAGCGAACAGGACCTCGAACAGAACCCTCTTTATGGCCAGCGCATTGGCCGCTTGTCATGTTTTGTCTCACTCCACCCGATCTCGGGTCGTCGCAGGGCGCCGGCGCTTCCCCTTGAATACGACGTGACGGCGCGACGCGAGGACCACAAGGTACTTTGTGGCAAGGACCGCACGCGCTGTCTCGAGGGCGACCATGTCGCGTCGGAGTGGCGGAAGAAAAATGATACAGCGCCGGATTTTCTGGGATTACTGGCTCTAGGAGGATGAAGGAGAGTGGTGTGATCGTGTGATCCAGCTAGGGCCAGCGCTGGAGCCCGTTCTGACAATGAACAGAGAGGTGGACTGGTAGTAGGTGGTGCAAAGAAAGACAAACGGCTGCAAGGTGCCAGGATTGTCGAAACGCTATGAAAAAAGGCCTCGCGATCCCCAACTTCATTTGCACCTCCAGCGAATAAGACAAGACATTCAGTGTCCAGTGAGTTTCGAGGTGCACGGGTATCCCTCTTGGTATGCTGTGCCGTGCGTGTGCCTTCGTTATGACATCAGAGACGCGGTCGTGTCCGCGGCCCGTGCTTCATCGCCGTGTCCCCTCCGCGGTCCAGCGGTCCAGCGGGCCGCCCAGGTCGTCGCCGTCCCTGTCCGTCGGCGGGCCGGGTCGGGCCGGTCCGCGTGTCACGGAGAAAGTCATCGTCAGCGAGAGGCTGTGCCGCGCAGCCGCGCACCGTGACGACACGGCATGACCGTCACGCCCTGCGCGGTGTGTGTGCGAGCGAGCGCGCCGGCGTCGCGCGTCTGGCCCGCGGGAGCGAGAGAGAGGCGGCCGAGTCCGAACTGCGGACGCGCGCGTCGCCGAGGTGCCGGCGGAGGGACTCGAGACAGTCCTCGTCGCAGCGCGCACCCAGCCTGGTGGTCGCTTGAGTCGGAGCCTATACCGAGCGCGCGCGCGTCCTCGTCGGCGACCTCGAGCGGTCCGCGGGTGCAATGTGAATCGCAGTGCGGGGCAAAGGACCGGTCGGTTGGAGTTGCGGTGAAGTGCAGCGCAGTGCGGGGCAGCGCCATGCCGGGCCCCGCAGCCGCCCCGGGCGCCGCGGGCGAGCTGTGACCAGGGCACCATGGCCTGATGGAGGCGCGCGACGGGAGGCCGCGCGGCGAGACCGACGCCCGGGGCCAGCAGGCTCGCGAGGAGGCTCATGGGGAGCGGCAGGAGCGGCAGGAGCGGCAGGAGCAGCAGGAGCCACAGCAGCAGCAGGAGGGGCGCCACCGGCAGCAGGAGGAGCAGGGCCCGGCCCGCGGGCCGTGGGGCGACCCCTCGTCCGGATGGCTCTTCCACGCCCCTGGGCCCTGGCCGGCCGCCCGGCGCGGCCCCAGCAGCGAGCGCTTTGGCATCTTCAGGGACTCGGGCAGGTCCAGGATGGCTCATGCGGGCGGGCCGTCCCGCAGCGCAAAGGGCGCCCGCCGCCATGCCACACGCTGGGCTGTGATCGCCGCCATGACCGCCATGCTCACTCTCTTCGTAAGTAGTAGCACCACTACCCCACATCCTCCCCGTGCCGTATATCTCTGTTATCCCACAACACGTCGACCCGCGAGCACCACCAGGACGCGTCCGACGGGTCGCCGCATAGATCATGCCTCCCCTGAAGGCGTCTTGGACGAGACCCGAGCAGGGGCGAGGGAGGGGGGGATGCTAGCAAACACCTCCGGGTAGCCCATGTTCCACGTATTTGTGGTTAGGTCGGCCGCAGGGGAGCGTCTGGTAAATAGGAAGATGAGGGCGGAGACTGTTGCGTCCAGAGAGAAACAGGAGGGGGGGGGGTAGAGAGAAAAGTGAGACTGCGTCTCCGC